TGTCAACAACTTTTATATTATCATATATCAAATGGATATATTCTAAATTCCTTGCTTTTAATTTAACTTTAAAAATATACAAGCAGTAAAATCAATATGGATAAAATTAAATAAGCTGATGGGCCAAAGCTAATTCGAAAATGTGGAGGTAAATTAAATGTAACCAAATATGTACTAAATATTAAATTTATGTAACTTAGAATTTATTAATTCATATCTCCAAGAATTTTATAAATAAACTTAATCGTATTTTATACATTTATATAAGATGTTATTTAGATTATCTTTTTCAGACCATTATATTTAACTTTCTTCTTCTCTAAGCCCTTGTTTTTACCTAGATATAATTTATAATTATTTTACTATTGTAATATTATTTAAAAATAAACTATGAAACATCTATTTTATACGCTTCTTATAGTGAATTAAATCGTCTATTAATTGAGTATTCTCTTTTGTCACATAAAAAAAACTTATGACTATTGCTTTCTTTTTATATAATCATTGTTAGAAAAGCCTTATTCACTAACAATTACTAAATCCTTAAATACTTTAGTGCCTTCTCTTAATGATATTATCATATATTCTCAGAATTACTATCATCTCAACTCAATTTAAGACTACAATTGGCATTTCTCATTTTAAAAATTAAACCCTACCTAATATTCAAATCTTACTCATCAATAATTTTTTTGAACACTTTTGCTTCCTATTATATTCAAATCTATAATTATTTTCAAGTTTTCTCTATCCAAATGTTACAATAATAGTTCATTTTAATAAATAATTTTTCAATTTTCTTTCATTAATTGCTATCTACAATATATTGAAATAATTTATATATGAGAATTATTATCATAGTAATCAAGATTGACTTTTTTTCTAAAAGAGAAATAAATATATTAATTAAGCACTTTGCACCCTAAGGATTCATCTCAGTTTTATTTGCAAAAATCAACAATAATAGCTTTAAATTACAATTCTGTAAAAAATCGGATATCAATCTAGTTGAAAAAATAAGAAGGCTGAATTACACGAGAACTGAAAATTTCATATCAAAAAAAAGATTTAATCAAAATGAAACCTCAGAAATTTTATAATGACCATAAGAATATCGGGTTAGATAAATCTACAAAAATTTTAATCTATCCTATTATCCTTAGCCTTTATGTGATATCATATGCATAAATCCATTAAACCATTATATAATTTAAGGGGAGTTTCTCATAACAATAAGGTTGTCTATAAAAAGAATTTGATCAAATAAATAATAACTTTTTCTAAATTCTCTTTTTTAGATTATGTAAAATTTTTTACTCTTGATTATTAGGTCATTAGATTTACAATGAAAATCAGAGCTCTTTCAAAATATTTCTTAATCTAAAAAAACATGTAATTTTGTCTTTCACTTTCAAATCAAATGCCTATATA